CAATGGGACTTCAACAAGAATTCAAAAATATCCCTTTTCACCAAAAATGACAAAAATAATCATCAAAATTAGATAATTGAAAATATCACCACAAAATTAACAAGTCCGAAAGAGGTGCACAAGTAGTACCTATATATGTAATATCAAAGCAATCGGACTTGCTGTTTTCAACAAGAAGTCGAAAATATTACTTTTTACCAAAAATGACAAAAATATTCACCAAAATTAGAGAATTAAATATATCATCACGAAATGGACAAATCTGAGAGAGGTCCACATGTAGTACCTATATATGTAATATCAAAGCAATTGGACTTGCTGTTTTCAACAAGAAGTCGAAAATATTACTTTTTAACAAAAATGACAAAAATATTCACCAAAATTAGAGAATTAAATATATCATCATGAAATGAACAAATCTGAGAGAGGTCCACATGTAGTACCTATATATGTAATATCAAAGCAATCGGACTTGCCGTTTTTAACAAGAAGTTGAAAATATCAAAATAACAAAAATATTCATCAAAATTAGAGAATTTGAGATTTTGACATGAAATGAACAAATCTGAGAAAGAACCATCCAAGGTACTTGCATATCAAATTTGAAAAAATTCTGACTTGCGGTTTCGAAGAAGAAGTTGAAATTGTAAAGTTGACGATGACGGACGACGACGACGAACAATCAGTAATATGAACAGCTCCGCTGTGTTGACAGCGGAGTTAAAAATTGATTTGGATCAAAGAAAACATCTTTTGAAACAGAAATCAAATATTCTATTTCATCACATGCTTTACCGGTACTCAAAATTACATAGTAAAAATGTGTAAGATTTAAATTTCCAACTCGTGTTCATGATGACGAGAAACAAAACCATATATTTCTTAGTCAAATATTATTTAATTCATCGTACTCATAAGAAGAAGATTGACATAAATTACTACAACAGACACATGCCCTCTTATACATCAACATTTTAAATGTCAAACCCAACTTTTGTTTCATAAAATAAACCATAATAACCTTTTCCAGAATTATGATTAAAACCTATAACCAGAAGAAAATAAATTTTGCTGATTAGATCTAAAAATAATAACAAAATGATAGAAAATATTTAACAATGTTGCACTAACAATGTAGCAAGAAAAAAAATCGTGGGATTCAAAGGTTTAACATTAAGGCTTAACAACAAAAAGTATTGATGCTGTACAAAAGTATTCACAACTCTATACACAATGGTGTAAATACTGTGTTCTGTCAATTACATGCTACAAGTCCGAAACATGTTGCCATACAGTAAGGTTGGCCACAAGCAATTTCATCAGTAGCTAAATACAAGTTATTATAAATTAAAAGTTTCAAACTTGTATTTTAGCCATGCATGATGAGAATTGATCAGTTTATAGAATGCTGAAAATTAGAGTTAAAATAGCTATAAGCCAGTGTTGTACATTAAATCACTTGCAAGTGAAAAAAATATGGCCACAGTCTCCAGAGGGCACCATCTAATAAGATTCCATTTTGTTAAGCAAACCTTAGGGTTCACGATACAAGATGACAACTCACTGAGTGTCCAGTGCAAATGTCAAATACATTGCCATCTTGAGAGGCTACGCCCATCTCTGAAGTACTCTGATGATTTTATTTTTCAGTTCCCATAATGTATAACAATTTTCTACAGTCCACATCACATGACTGATTTAAACAAAATGGTGACTACTTGACCTTTTGTTTTCACGTCTCATTTTATGTGCATTTTTGTAAGATTTGGTCACCTTTATGTAGTTAAACAAAACAAAAAAATCTAAATCAGTTATTGCTGCTTTTAGTCACCAAACCTCAAACATTCCAAGTAGTAAAAAATAAACTATTCACAGTATGACAAAAAACTATTGAGAAAAAAAAAATATATTAATCAAAAATCCTATACACACAAAAAAAAAATGTACAGTTTACTGGAGTAACAATGTATTGTTTTTGTTCATACAACTATTAAAATTGCTTATGAGAAGAAATTAGAAACCAGTATTGAACTTAACTACACACTATAGTCATTGCAGAAAAGAAAACCACACACAGGTTTAAAACTACCACATAAGCCAGATGAAAACACTGGGCAGCGTTTTAAAATTACATGAATCAAAAGGTAATATATCGCTATTACTGCAATTATAATATACTACATTATAACTAATTTCAGACAGAAATATATCAAACTAACAATACGTTACTTTTATATTCTATACAACAACCATGGAAACCATATTGTGACGGTTAATTGGTTTCAATTAATTCAAATGGTGACTGAATGTGTACAAATTTGTATAGTGTTTATATTACAAACATTCAATCGACAAGTCAATCAATTTTTAAAAAACGCAGCTGTTTAGGAGAAGTCAGTCTTGCCTACTTCTATGGAGGAACATGTACTTTCTGATGAACAATTTGATTGGAAATGCAGTCCTGAGCTGCAATAACAGTTTATAGGAATAACAGGAGTGAGAAATAAAGTATGGAATAATAATAAGAATAAATTGAGAAAAAAATTAAATTATTCTGATTACTGAATTGAATTGCTGAAAATATAATATTGAATGTTTTGTAATTAAACAAATGTTCTGGGCTCAATTAAGATGATGAAAATTTGTTGATCAAAGTATTGCAAAGTCACTTTATGCAATTAAAGAAGCTTGTTTTAAAAGGGTGGGGGGGGGACTAGGATTTTAGCAGCAGATGATTAAAATTTCGTGTGAACAAACAATGTTTTTCTCACACAAAAACATGGTAATTTATGACTGTGTCAAAATCCATATGATGTGGTATTTTCAAAACAAGAAATTGTAATAAAATTGTTGCCCCTAGAATACATGTATAACTTCATATTTTTTGCCTTTATGGTCAAAATGACGAATAATGGCATATTTCAGACATTACAGTCAAACTTAACAACATGCAGGCTACAAAACTCAATCAAATTCAAGAAAATCGGGAAAGTGGGAAATGCAGAAACAGAAAAAAGGTTTCTTTTTACATATAACACCTTATATCCTACCTGAGTCCACTCACTTCTCGCACAAGTAATGACTAACATATGGTGAATTTTACTTTTAAGTCAAGCTTTTAAAACGTCGCCCCCAGTTCTGTGTGCAATGCGTCATACATATGTCACACATAAAAAGTTGCACACCTATCAATTTTAAATAAAAATGTTATTTGTTGTTTTCCTTTTCAAAATTAAATACAACCGGCACTTTAGTAACGACTTCATGTCCGGACTTGTCGACTTCTTTGTCAATAGAAAATTTAAGCTTAATATATAAATATACGAGTTTCTAAATATTAATACACAATAAATATACATTTCATTGTGTAAAAACAAAACAAAAAATCAGTGACGTAAAATACTTAAAAAATCATCATGGAAGAATTCATTATGCAGAGAGGTGTGGGAAGGTATGTGCAAAAATTCTCAGTGTGCAACAGGTGGCCAAAAACATGATCTGCCAAACTGAAGAGTCCAGGAAAGACTACTTATTTTCATTGCTAAATAGAGTGCACTTTGACCAAAGTAAGGTATGAAATGTAGGTAACATATAACAACCCCCCCAAAAAACAAATATTTGACACCCCTCCCCCGAGGTGTGACATGTGCAATGAAACTGATGCATGTGCTGGCCAGAAAGAAATATAATGTTAGGGTATGAAAATTGAAAAAATTTCATCATTGCCAATAAAAATTATTAATTAATAAGGCCCAAGTATATCAACTCTCACTCAATTTCCCGCATCAATTATTTTTTTACTTTTGTGGCGTGTGTTTTTCAACTTTTTTTGGTATTTTTTTTATCAATGTAATACTGAGTTATTTGTGGTGCCAAATCAATGTAGACAAAAATTGAACTTCAAACTTTCTAGGTACTGCTATCATATGTATAGCCTGTATATTACCGTACATTAATTTACAATAAATTATATACTAGTAAATTAATCCCACAGTGTTTTTCAAAATAAGACATCATACAAAAACATTTTGGGCAAAAATTATGAAAAACAAAAATTTGGTTCAACTTGCTCATTGCTGGGAACTATCTTTTCAGATTTTTGTTTTTGGTTTGAAATTAACAAGAAAACCTTGACAAACTCTGGTGGGAGAATTCCTTTGGTGAAAAGGTCATTAACAGGAAGAACCATTGTATGCTGAACAATACTATTCACTAAAATTGAGTCTTTGGTTTAGCATTTGACACATGGACTGGTGTTGCCTGTGATTTGGAACAGTTACATGAAATCCATGCAATTCAAATAAATATATCGAATAGAGTTAGAAAAAAAATATTTTTGTTCTTGCTATTTTGCTGGAATTACATTTTTTTTTTTGATTAATATCTCCTGGTTTTAGCTCAAAGCATTTAAAATTCATTAAATCTCTTGAGCTTCGGTATATACCGGTTAGTACATTATACATAGTTTCCAGTCACATTACACGATATTAATCCATAATTAGAACATCCTCAAATCTTTGAGATTGCAATTTCCAATCACCTAAATTTCTAAGCTAATTCCAGTAACCCTAGCAAAGAACTTACAGTACAAACAGTTGTATGAATCGTGCACTGTGTCAGCATTACATGTACTTACAACAAACACTAGATGCCAACTATAGCTATGCAAAACCTTCACACTAATTTAACACACTGCCTGAAAGGAAACGCAAACACAAAAACCATTGACTAGTGTTACAGAACCACGGGTGACAAGCACCAAGTACATGAATGCCAAGAGATTGGGAAACAATTAGGCACTGAAAGGAACATTTTCTAGTAAATGAATCTCAGCTTCTTATTAAACACAGAGACAGCAAATATCAAAATGCATATAAAACAGGTGGGGTGCGGTCCTGTGTAAACATTATTTCCATGCTGTTTTCTAATCTATAGCCATAAAATCTGGAAAGAAAAGGAAAGAAAACAACAAGGCAATTTATATTCCAAAACAAATGCAAGTATGGCTGTTGTATTTTAATTGAAAAATAGCTCAAAAGATCAAGCTCTTATTTTGATATTTCATGAAAATTTAATATTCTGTTTCTTAAATTCATGCAACAAAGCAATGTATATTTAGAGGGCAGGACAAGAAAAACAAAACAAGAATATGTTTATCAAAAATGAAATTTTGAAAGTTCAGTTTTACTAACTTGAAGAATTATTGCGAGTTAAAAATAGAAAGACGATAATGCCACGAGTACCGGTACTACGGAACTACGGGGAAAGCATTTGCTGACGTCAAAGCTTCCAATCAGTGCGACCAAAATAAACAGACGCGACTCTTTGATACAATACAACTGACTGGAGATTAAAAAACGTGCGTGTGTGTGTGTGTGGGGGGGGGGGGGGGGTGTACAGAGTATGGCCGGCGTCGTGAAATATGACGATTTTCACAGGAATAAGTACACGACACTTGTTTGGAACACAACAAAACAAAACAAACTTAAAACGGGAATGTACCGTTTACGCCCGAACTGAATGACATTCCAGTACACGTTCTCACATTAAATTGCACAGCTATTTTACGGGACTGTACTGTCAGGTGCTGTTCCTTTCTCTGACTGGACTAATATCGGCCTGTGACAGCTCGGGATACAACGTCAAGACGTACGAACGTAAACATGACCACCGAGTCGGAGAGTCGCCGCCATTCCAACAGGTCTTACCTTGAATGTCAATGGAGTCCCGTAATTCTCTCACACGACTTCCAAAACTTCGGTCGTGATTTCAACTTTAGAGGAAATGTCACCACACCATTCTAAGACGAGATGATACAATATAACAATAGTAGGTAATACTCTTTAGCGCGACAAATTCCGTGAAAAACGCCGGATGATAGTTCGCCCACAATCTCGGTCACTCTAAACTTTTTTGACCAGTGTGACGTGACATTTGCACGTCATCAACGTAATTATTCTGAGCATGCGCATTTAAGCAACCACCTGTGACCCCGCCATTCATTGCAAATTTGCGAACTTTTCTCATAGTTGATCCACTGCAGAAAGTAAAGTCACTAACATTCACAATGCTGCATCAACCAGTTTGGGTTCGAGCGAAAATTATAACTAATAAAAACATAAAAAAAAGACAGTAAGATGAATATTAGACAGGCCCAGGCGTGGCAATTTTATTGCTTTATGTAATACTAGTAATAAGAACTGCTTACGCATAAAGGAAGGTGTATAGTGAATAAAAGTCCATTGCTCACGAAACAGTAAGTTGGTGAAAATATTTATTATTTTCTTTTTAATTGACCCATTTTTATGAAAACAAATGGATTTATCGCAGAACTTTTATGTGGTTAGTGACTAAATTGACATACAATGTACGTAGTTACATTTTATCGTTTATAATGCCGAAACTTCAGATGCAATGTGAACACTACAAAATCTTGTTGCTAGGGTAACCACCTAAATTCGGTTGGTTCTCTTTTGTATGGTCAATAAATACAAATCTGCCAGCATAATTAAAAAAAGAAACATTAGTCCACGGTATTGTTTAAATGCGTCAAAGGAACATCATATTTATTAATTTTTGAACGTTTTTTTTAATCACAATACAAACATTAGACGACCTTCAAAGACGAACATGCAAAATTCAAAATTTTTAAATGTAAAATATATGAAAAATTATGTATCAAAAATGTATGTGGCGATTATAATTACAGTGGACCTACCGAGAATATTTCCATGGTGATGATAACATGGACACAAAGCTACAGACATAGTAGATATTCTACTTCTTTATATCTCCGTGTCCTAGGATTCCATGTCCTGGACTACACCAATGCGTTATTGAAAATATAAATTGAATATTGTTTGAATGAATCTCCCATTAATTACTATGTATATACGTGTAACTGGAAGTGTTAATACATCATGTGTGTTAACATCCTACGTATATTATTGTCTGCTTGGAAAAACATGGCTTGGCATGAGACTCATACTTTGATTTCAATAAATATGGGAGGTTCGTCACCTGCGCACACGCGCGAATTGAGTCCCAAGCGACGATAGCAACACACGCTAAAAATGCAAAGGCTCATGGGTAGACGCTTGTTTATAAACAATGACACGCTATGGCCGTCTGACGCATGCGCAGGTGACGACTCCCTTGCTTTAAAAGATTCTCATATTAAAACATGCATGTCATGTAGTTCATTTCTGTTCATGCTGTCGATTCCTCCCATACACTCATTGTGTTTTGTGATGTGAATGATCAGAACATGAATTATCGGCCTACGCAGAGGATCTTAATCGCATATCACTGCCTGTGTGCAAGGATAATCACCATTACAAACTCTTGTCTTATCTTATAAATCCTTGTTATTACAAAACACAAAAATAGTGTGTATGTTTAAATTCATGGTTCCTATAATATTCTTAGTGATTCAGTTTGTTCCAACGACTCAAACTGAAACATACTAACCCCCCTATACCGTAAACAACAAGTAAGGCGACCCTGTCACCTTTTCATTAACCGTATTCCATAATATTCCATAAATACTGACATAGTAATATTTCTAAGGGGCGAGTGAAAACAAACCAACATCAAGAAATCTACCGAATAAAGTATACGGTTGTCTGAAACAAACATGTCAACTTGAACCAGGGGTATCGTAGCACTTTTAAAAATGAATTTGAAAATCTGCGGCCAATGAAAACAATCTTAACTACGTCGTTTGGGGCGCTATCGCTGTCGGAGAATTCAAGATGGTGTTGCGTGAGGCAAAATTTTGAATTATTAATTTTAGTCTATTTAATTCAACTGAACGTTCATTTGTGGCGATGGTGATATTCTTTTACAGGATTATTTTCCCCTCAATCTGATCAAAATAATAACTATTGTTTTGGCTTTTGAGTATAATTCAAGTTATCTATTACATTCACATTCTCAATTGATGTTTTCCCTTTTTTATTATGAAAGCCACAAATATTTGTATTAGCGGATAGTGTTGGCAAAAAGTGAGATGAAACAGCACTCATGTGGGATACTCTTTTTTTAATCAGATTTACTTCCGCTGTGCTATAATT